TAGAAGGCGACTTAGGTCTAATCTAACGAACGGCATGGCAGATGATGTGGCATTTATGACTTGAAGTTAGTCTCCCGTTTAAAGGGTGACTTATAAGTGGAATGAGGATCGGCTAAGAGAGTTGCCCGTTAGAAATATCATTAACTATAGAGATGAGCTCGATGGTTTACTTGATAGTCGGGTATCTTCCTAAAATTTTGAAATGAAAAATCAATTTGTTATTTTTAATTCATATAAGTTATTATTGAATATGTAAGTAATTTGACAGCCATGCACGCATGATATTCAAGCTTAGGTCATACAGATTTGTCTGTCAGGGGAGGACATTTGGACGGCACGAGTGCTTCTGATTAGTTGGAAGATGTCTTAGTGGCACTTGCCATATAGAGTACTCGACAATTTAGATTGTGCCCAACTACTAATGTCCAACCAATGGAACCAAGCTTCAAAAGGGTAGATGGTCGTGGGAAACTAGACATGGACTGTATGTTGTACCACCAAGCACATATTGTCATATGGGAGAGTAGGCGTAGATATATAGTTACAGGGGACCTCCTTGACCAGCATAATAACTACTCAATTCATCACTAAATACAGTGGTACAAGTCATGGGCAACACTATACATGTTGAAGGCACCTGTTGAGCCTCCCACAACGGCATATCCTAGAGCTCCCTCTGAGCACCTTATGGTGGGTTCAAATTGAATATACTATAAATTCCTTAGATAATTATTTTTTTGTAAAATAATAACAATTTTTTTTTGTTAATTCAGAGGGATTTTTTCCTGGGTACTGAACATGCTTTGCAGCAACACTTCAATGGTACAAATGATATACAACAACAGAGGGACATAAACACAGTGGCAGAGCTTTGTCGTGGTTTACGCAGGCAGTTGTATATCCAAGATCAATGATACTTTGATGATAGAAGTGAGCATAATACACCATTTTTCATGACCCATGACGCTCCTCAGCATTATAGTGGATATGCTGGACCCTCCTCTTATCCTAATCAAGGGCTCTATGGGGACCTTTTCAATAACCAGGTGCCAGCAGATTTGGATGCATACCTCACCCCAGATTTTGTACCGAGCTCCCTTCATACAGATGACATAGCTGAGGAAGAAGTTGCTGTGGAGGAACATCACATGTTACGTCAAAGACCACGACAACCTCCACAACATTACACTCCAGGCACTGATGCATTGCCACAGAGGCCACGTAGGCGACGCTAATTCATCCTTTTATGTATTTTAGTATGCTTATGTTATGGATCATTTAAATTATTACCATTTTATTTATGAATCTTTTTTATTTGGCTAGTAAAATGCACGTGAGGCAATTTAAAACTTTTTCTTATATTTATAATGAAACACTCATTAACTCTAATCATACCTATTAAATACTAATTAATATTTACATTATTTTTAGTATACATAACTAATACATACATTTGTGGTGCCAATCTTTTTATTATAAAATCTAATTTAAAAAATAATAATTATTTAATGAGGGTTAAATCTAATATATTTGAATAGTTAAATCTAATATCAAATCTTATAGTCAGAAAAAATTCGATTTACAAGTTATTCTTGCACCACTTCTACAATTTTTTTAAGTCACCCGTAATCTGGGCGACTTATTAATAATATCATTTCCTTGTCTACTCAGTATAATGGCTACCTGACTCAACTAATCCTAGTCGGCATAAGTCGCCGGTTAAACAAGCGATTTTGCCTATATTTAAATTTTTTTAAACACGCTTAAACTGTTAATACAATTTTTAATATTGCTTATTCTTAAAAATTTGTTAACATGAAAGAAACAATTTCATATAATTATGTGATTCGAGTTCTTATGAACTCTACATCCATAGAGCAACTTTGTTCATCATCTTTTTTATTCAAATATGTGAATATAACAAGATAAAATATATTATTTATTCAGAAATCTACTCTAATAACTTTCCAAAACAATGCCAATAGCAACTCTTACATAACTGAAAACATAAATTGCTATAACAATAAGATCTACTCCACCATTAAGATCTAAAATAGATCTTTAACAAGAAACAACAGGAAATTAATTCTAGAAAAGGAGATATATTGAATCGGGAAAATCAGAGAATGGGAGCACTCAAAACCGAGAGCAACAAGCAACAATGCACCAATCTTCTTAATCTAAATAGGAGATATATACTTGCATACCGATCATATAGCTGAGCTTTGCAAAAGAACAATTTCTTACAACACAAATCATACTTCCATCCGACAATCTCTTACGATTGTCTTTCTCGAAAAAGAATAAAAAGAAAGATTCACCTTCTTCAATGCATCTCATCTTCTCTCTCGTACAAGAAGCCAAGCACCACTCCAAGCCCTAGCTCTCTCGGAAAAACCCTTGTTCTCACACCCGAACGACAAGCACACACAGCTACTTTCTTTTCCTTTTTTTTCTTTCCAAATCCTCTCGATCTGCCTTGGTAGATAAGTAGATAAATAGGAAAGAAAAACCCACTTAAAAATTAAGCAAGAAATAAGATATGTCCAAATTTCTAAAATAAAAGAATAGTAATAAATCTTTAAGAGAAATACTTTAATTAAAATTAATTATGAATAAACAATTTCAATTAAACCTATTTTAATTTTTAATCACTTATATTAGATATATTGCAACCCATGATTTATGAATGGAAAACAATAAAACAACCCCTTGTTAGATTTGTGGTACTTTTGCTCATAAGGCTTCAATGTTCAAAATACTTTAAATCATCCCACACTCCACCTCTGTCTCTTATCCCCTTCAACCATCATCATGGAAAGAGACGAAGCTAAAGCTTTATTTGGGACGGCTTTTTTATTGCTTCTTGAAGCACCTTTTTACTATAGAATTTAAAATTTTTGTGCTAGAAATCAGCTTAAAGCAGCAGTAAGAAAGCTGTCCCAAACGAAGAATAAAACAAGGGGCCTCATACTAACACAAAGTTGTTTCTTTCTCCTCACCAATCACTAGAACTCCAATTTTTGCTCCTACCAAAATTAATGAACTTTAATGATTGTTGCTAATTAGAAAGATACAAAGAATTTTTTGGCAAGTAGGTGAGAAGGCGACTATGAAATTAAAATGTAAAAAATATACACAGCTCATCTTTGTCTGTTGGTTGAGAGCTTAGGCTATTAACTAAGTGGTCTTAAGTTCGAGATTTCTGTATGTGATGTATGTATGACTCTGCCTTAATTAACTTAAATGTTGGACGTCACTAAAAAGATGTAGCTATAAAAGCTTTGCCAAAAATCCTTGGCAACCACTGTGATGATTCCATCTTCCTACAATATTGGGATTATTTAGTTTGGGCTAATATCGCCTATAAATTTTGTTTAGCGCATTTTTTTATTCCTAATGAGGTTCAATTACTGTAACATTTTTTTTAGTGCAATAAGATAGATTAGAGAAGAAGATTACTCATTTTGAGCCCATCCCCAATCTACTCTCTCCAACGTACTAATCTCTATTATTATTATTTTTATTTTTCTCCTTATAACTTTGACTTTTATATTGAAATAAATTAGATTTGAATATTATAATCAAAGTTTTGTCGTGATGAACAAAATAATTTTGAATTTATTTTAAAATCAATATATGTAATATAAGCTGCAAAAGCTAATTAATGATATTTTAATCACTTATATTAAGAAAAAAATATTTAATTGTATTGATAATAAAATAATTATTTAACTCTTTCAGAATATGAAGAATATGTGCTATAAATTATAAGTTTTTATCCTCTTATTTTTAATCTTTTTGAAATCATAATTTTAAATAATTTTTTTAAAGCTATCAAACAAATAAAAAAAAATTGAAGGAATATCTAAAATATTCAATTTATGCCCCCCATAATTTTTTTTAAAGCTATCAAACAAATAAAAAAAAATTGAAGGAATATCTAAAATATTCAATTTATGCCCCTACTAAAAAAAAATCTCTATATATAAAGAAAATATACAATGATATTTAATTCATCAATAAAATTGTGTTAATATCCTCTCTAATGGGGGAATTTTGATCTCATGTACTTACATTCTACAATAGTGAAACATATTCAATTGGATAATGCCTCTTGATTTTTCCATTTTAATTATTCTAACTAAAATATTCATTGCCCCACTATGTGCTCTTTTTACTTGATTGTCTTATATAGAAGGAAGTAAAGGCGATCAAATTTTATCCTTTACTTTCAGAAAAGATTATTATGTGTGGAGTCCGAACGCGTTCAGAAACAAATTTGAACGTGTCACGTCATCCATTACACTATGCATTGGGTGATGCGACGCGTCTGTATTGATTTCTTAACACATCAGAACGCAGCAAATAATAATTTTTTTCACTTTCAGGTACAATTTAGAAAATTTTGAAATAAATACACGTACTATAATAACATAGAACTTTATTAAACTATATTATATGAAATTTTATTTTAAATTATATTATATTATTTGTAAATTGATAAAATATTGATAGGGTATTGTAAAGGTCTCAGACTCTGAGATAGTCTCCCTATTCCCTAAGATGTAACACCTCTATTTGTAATTTCTTATGCTACATTTTAATTTTCTGCCCTTTTTAAATTTCTTGAAAATAAAGTAGTTGAGAGCAAAAGATAGAATCATCAAATAAGACAACTCGGTTGGACAGATCCAAGCAAGTGAGAGCACAAGACCCAATGCCCCAACCTTTGGACCAACCGTCCTCACTTCCATTCTTTGAGTTCTTAGTGATATCAGGCTTAGGGTGATTAACCTCCATCCTAGGTTCGAATCCTCTATTCTATGGCCTCGATTCTTCAGTGGGGCAAAGCAAATGTGGGCCCGATGTTGGTGGATGACCTCGCTAGGTCCTACCGGGGGATTAGCTACCCCGCCAAATGCTCCCTTTGGAGTGGCAGCGGGTAGATACCTCCGTTCCAAAAAAAAACATTATTTTTCATTCAATGACAGAGAGGAGAGAATTTCCAACCAAATATCTATTTATCATAAACAACTGGTCCTTTCTTTCTCCCTACAGTTGAGGTTAGAACAGAAAGACCAGCTTGATTGTTCCCTAACAATTACAAGTTCCAAGGAACTAAAACGCCAAACAACACAACAACAAAGCTTGGTAATGCCTGTCTTTCACAGTTGCATCAACCCAGAGCTTCTTCCATTAGCTACCTAAACTGGAGTAAAAGAAAGAGCAATCACTTGAAAAAGTTCAGCTGATTTGCTATCTTCTAATGCACAGGCAGTCATCTTATTTGCAGCAGTAATTAACACCAATTACCTGAGAGTTAATGAAAAAAAGCATCAAAGAGTTATAATGGATTCATCTAATACTAGTTAGGAATAATAAAATGAAATACTGAAGTTCTTTGATGAGATGCCAAACCTCTAAAATCATTACATGAGTTTTTGAAAACTAGCTTCAATCATCCAAGCTATTATTAGGAGAAAGACTAATTATTCTGTGCGGATGTCAAACGCCGTTCAGAGACCAATTAGAATGCGCCACGTCATCCCTTCGCTCGTTACAGCAGCTCGGCACCGCTGACGTGACGTACTCTGATTAGTTTCTGTACGGCATTCTGTGTCCGGTCCGGCCTCCGCACAGAATAATTTCTCTAAGAGTGTCATATCATGTAATTACAACCTTATCAATTTATGCAATAGATCTCTAAATTAAGCAAAATTTTGTGTGCCTTTAGTGGTCATCTGCATGCTTTCTTTTTTCAATTTCGTTCTAGCATGATTTGATACATAAATTCTTCTCAAACCTAAAAATTTCACACAGTTTGCAAAATTCAAGGAACAGATAAGCCAACATAGAATGTTCAATTGCTTCTTAACAAATCTTAAAATTACAGAAACAGTTCTATACCTTCTTCTTCATTTTGTTGAGAAAGCCTGTGACCCTTCATTCGAAAATTTCAGTAGTAATAAGAACCTGGAGATTTCACGAGTTAGAAACAGTATTCAGCGAAAATATTCACTGTAGGAATTTCATAAATATATGAGCTCCTTTTCTAGCTAATTTAAGTACAATACCTTGCCACCAGTCTCCTCTTGTGGCAACGTCTGAATTCCCTGAATCTTCTTCTTTATTCTGCTTCTTGTACTGAATATTTCAAATACGAAAACTTTTAAATTAGTAAACAAAATCATATCTCCTTCACCAAAAAATTAAAACAAAATATACACTTATTTGCTATCTATATTTTTTTGCTGGATTTTGAATATGTAGCTTACACTGTAATGTGCTCCAGAATTGTGAGTTGCAGAAGTCTGAGGAATGTAGTCATCTCGCCCACCATAATAAACAGAAGAGCTCATGAGACATGATTCTGGCAAATCACAGAAGTTGAGAGGCTTGCTGTTCTTCTTGGCTGTGCTCTGGTTTTGGCCTGTGCTACCCCAGGAATTACCAGCTGCAAATAAAATTTTGCTATTGTTGAGATTTATGTTTTATAGATTACCATATTCACTTTTTCCTCTCGGGGATTTGAGCACTACAGGAAATTACCGGCGACTTTTACCGGAGATTAGTATAAATTTTCCAGCGGTTTTGAAAACTACAGGCGGTTTGTTAGCGGCTGGCATAAACCGCATAGGAAACAAATTGTTGCGGTCCGTTTCCGGCGGCTTTTTGACAACCATCACAGCTGGTAAATTCCGGTGGTCATAGCGCCGGCGACCGCCGGTTAATTACTGGCGGCATGCCGGCCATCTCAAACGCCGGTTGCCAAGCCGCCGGTTGTTCGCCGGTATACCTCCGGTAGACCGCCGGTATTTACCGGCGGCTATATTAAAATTCCACCAAAAAAAAAAACTTAACACTAAAACTTAACACTGGCGGCTTGGCCGCCGGTAAATCCTACTCAAAAAAAGAAAACCGGCGGCCTACCCGGGGTTTATTTTACCGCCGGCATTTCCTGCAGTTAATTATATTTTTTCCTCACGGGGTTTTTACGTTACAGAAAAATTATCAATTATCGGTGGCTTTTTCTGGCGATTAACATAAATTTTCCGGCGGTTTTGAAAACTACCAGCGGTTTTCCGATAATTGATAATTTTTTGCCAGTAAATCCGATGCAAAAACAGAAAACCGGCGGCCTACCCGGAGGTTATTTTACCACCGGCATTTTTGACGATTTATTATTAAACAATGCCGGATAAACCGCCACTTAATACTAGCGGTTAGCCGGCCAATTAAACCACTGATACTTCCGGCAGTTATTTGACCGCCGATGCTCATTGATCGAAAGGAATTGGAAGCAATTCAAGTGCGTTTTATTGGTTTTAATGTAATTCACTTAAACAATTAGATTTATCTAAGAAATGGTGGCAAATGAATTTTTTCTTTAATTAACAACTTGCTACCCAAAACCAGTGAAAAATCGGAAGATAAATTTATGGAGGCATAATTTTGACTAGCTTTGAGTAGATAAGAAATAGAAAATTTGTATCCATTCAATTTCACCTCAACAACCAAACCAAACCAGTCGGTGAGAACAAATTTCAACTTAAACTCCTTCGCCATTTCCATTTTCTTTCAGTTTTCTGTTTTTTAGTTCGTTCAAATCAAACAGTTCTTTGTTTCTTTACAAAATACACAGTTTAAAGCTAATTATATGTTCTTCTGAGGGAATTGTCTGAAAATATAAGTACTGCTAGAACAGTGGTAGCTATTACCACTGAAGGAAACTACTAGTTTTGTAATACGAAGCAACGATAGAGCAAAAACAACATAAGTAGAGTTCTCCATACAGAGTCAACCATACCCTCAGTTTCAGTTTTTCTACACGAAGCAGACCACTCTGAATCCTTTCCAGCTCCCTGAAACAAGAAAGCAAGTGAATGCTGGGTGAATTCAGAAAAGCAGCTTTATTAAAATAAAATCCCGTAGAATCTTGATATAGGACAGAAGATTTTATATAAGCAGGGAGAAACAGAGGAATTAAGTTACCGTTGAGAGTGGGGGAAATATAGAGCCCAAGCTGTCATACTTAGAAGTCTTCGCTTTCTCATTATTTCTGGGGAAAAACTCATCCACAAATGATTTTCTCCCTTCCATCTCTTCTCTTTCTCTTTCTCTCTGTAAAACGCGACAGAAGAAGAAGAAGAAGAAGCAGAAAGCAGTGAACTGAGAAGTGGAGGAGAAGAACGAGAAGGGTCTGCGAGGAAGAGAAGCTCCTGCCTTGCTTGTTCCTTCAAGCCTATGAGCTCTTATTTAAAGACTGGCTCCTTGTCTTTCTCTCTCCTTCTCTACTCTTTCTCTCTCCTACATTCCTCCTTTGCGACAATTTCCAAATTATAAATCAATTATTTCTCAAGATTATGTTTGCTTTTTAATGCTTTTGCGTCTATCAGTGTTGGGTAAACGTGTCGCGGGTCTATGCCCCCAAATAAGGAATTTTTTTTTTTTTTTTGAGATTTTTGAAGTAATTTATTCGCTATTCAGCTATACTCTTAGGTAATTTGTTCTCTTCTATCTATTTTTTATTCTGTATTATAAGAGTATTTATGCAATTGCCCGTCCTAAAAAGTTAAAATATTATAGTGTTTAGGCAATTGCAGCCCTATCAGAATTAAACACATTGTATAGAGACATTATTGTTAGAGAACGATAAACCAAACAAAAAGAGAAATAACAAATCACAATTTGCTAAACACAAATAAACACAAGATATTGGTTTCACTACAGAGAAGAGGAGAATACAAAACTACTTATAAATCCTAAGCCCTTGACAACATATTTATAGAGCCAAAATACCCTTACAACCAAAATTAGTTTAGGCCAAACTCCGCCGTATCTACTAAGCGTACGATGAGTAAGGACATGAACAACCAAGGGTCAAGCCAAATTCGAAGCAACGTCAACAGTTATTTATAAGTAACAAACTTATAACAAACTATGATAAACTATTATTAAGGAGTATTCTACTAAAGATGTTCCTACATCATACTCCCCTAGTTTCAAAAAGTTTGACTCTGTCGAGGCATGTCAACGGTAAGGAGGTAGGTGTAGAAACCATTAGTAACCGTCCTGGATCAAAAATTTTGCAGCTCTAGTTCATTCCCGCAAGCTTAGTATTATAGTTTTGTTGAGATGCTTTTCTATTTTGGTCAAACTCAACCTTGCATTCTAGTTTGTTGAGCATATAGGTGCCACCATAAACAACACTAAGATGAGCAAAATCCTATGGCAGTTCTCCAAGCTTATATAGAGGATAAATATAAGGAGATCCATCTTGAAAGCGTTCAAGTGAATCTGCATATAGCTTCATTCTCTTTACCGTGTCAATGGCAGGCTTGTCCATCTATAACTGCTTTAGCTGAGAAATAACACAAAGCATCCTCAGATTCTTTGGCCTAACTCATCGTATCATTAGGAGTTCAACATTATTCACCTCCGCAATAGCAGAGTTCTCACCTCTCTATCCCTGCGAGTGTGTGACTTGGCTCCTACATTCAATGTCTCCATGCATTACGTTCAATTCATCTCTGTTGATCACAAATTTGGGATCAAACCCTTTAGAGATATTTGGTCAAACAACTTGGGAGCGTTATATTGGATCAGCCTTAGCAGTAGAATTTAAACCAGACATTTTCACACCTGTAATAAAATCGTTCCCAATACCACTTCCAGTGGCTTTGCCACAAACTTCCTTATCGTGTGTATTCATTTCAGCAATACTAAGGGCATGAAGATCTTCACATTCCTTTATAAAATGGGCCTCAGATGAGGTTGCATTGACCATCGAATCCAATGGATAGATGTAATCAACATCTTCATTTCCAGCAGAACGTCTATCATCACTACCTTCATCCTCACAGTAATTCTTTTTTGCAGTAGGAGTCGGTCTAGATGGGGAAGCTGGTGGCAGAGCAGGGTTGCTCGACGGCGAGGGTGAAGAGATCACGGGTGGTAGCAGCAAAGAACTAGGAAGGGTTGGGAAAGAGTTAGAAGTAGGAGGAAGAGTAGCAACACGGATTGGCAGTGGAGAAATGTAGGAGGATCGGATGGGGTGAATGAATGATGTAGGATGATTAGATGGGGCGGACGATGGAAGTTGGGTCATATCGCGGGAGAAGGCTGAGGCAGAGTCGAAATCGACCAAATGCTTTCCCTCAACCATGTTATAAGTATCAACGGCGAGGTCAAAATCGATGTCGAGTTGCGGTTGCTACGTAAGTAGCTCAGAGTAACAGAGGATGACTTCTCAGTGTCACTGTCGACATGTAGAGGAACTTCTTCAAGATCAAAGGCGGAGATAGTAGGAAATGGAGTATTGGAAGCGGGCCGATGGGCTCGGGTGGTGCCCGCATGAGCGAAGTCGGATCGCAAGAGAAGGCTGAGGTGAAATCATAGGCGATGGAATGGGACTGGAGTGGAGGTGAGTCAGGCAAGTGAGGGTAGATGTCCAATGGTAAGGTTGTGGAAGTGCGAGCCGGTTGATATGATGGTCGATGTGCATATTTGTTCTATGGAACGGCTGAAATTAGCACATAAAGAATCAATTTGATCAAGTGATGCTTTCACATGAGCCACCTGAAGGGCTTCACGGCGTCAATCGTCGTCGACCACCCATTTTATTCATCGTCAATCTTCATCAACTGTCCAACAGCCCACCTTCTTCTGCAGTTCATTGTTCTTCGCAAGCTCCCGTCTCTGATATCAACTGATGTGAGAAGATAGTGTTGGATCATTGGAAGAAGAGGATGCGAGAAGGAAATCTCAATCCATAGAACTAACAAAAGCACTAAGCTTCAAAATGTCATAATATTCATCAATAATATTTCCTACTACATTACTTTGCTTATTTATAGGCTAATAAGAACATTCTAGAAATCATAAGTAACAAACTTATAACAAATTATGATAATTTATTCCTAAGGAGTTTTCTACTAAAGATGTTCTGCATCACGGAATTTGTGTTCCTTTCTTAGACCAGATATTTCTTGGCCTAATCTAAGTTTTTCTGCAATTTTGCCAAATCACCTCATCTATTTATTATTCTTCTTTACTTTCACTGTAACTTTTATAACAGTTAGTCCCTATCTATTCTAACTGTTTTATATTTTCTAGCATTGCTATTTTTTACAACGCAGTTCATATAATTCCCTTTTACCTTTTTGAGTTAAAATTAGGCTGTTCCCTTTAGTAACTAAACGAGCCTTCCCTCATTAAACCCAAAAAAGTACTGTTGCTTACGTTCAAAATGCCGGTTGTTCGAATCTTAAACTAAACTTAGTTCTGTATGAAAAAAAATAAAAGAAAAATTATTGATTATCAAATTTTTATAATATTTTTACAACGATTACACTTTAAAAAAACTTATAATTAAAAAATAAAACAATATTAATATATAAATCATATCCATAAAAAATGATAGTCTTATTGCATGCTAGCAAGCCATTTGATAATTTGGTGGGTTTCCACAAGACAGCACTCCTCAACTTTTGCCGACTAAAACAAACACTACTTATAGTTTTAGATTCTTATAAAAGTTCTTTAATAATTCTTGCAACTTTACATGAGATAAATGCAGTCCAATAAAAAATGAACTCGCTTGCATTCAAATATGAAGTTCTATCTATTAGGAATTTATCATAAAATTTCCAATTATCTTGAATATAGTTTGATTAAAGAAAATAAAGAAAAAATTAATTTGTAGACCGTTAAATATTTGCCTGAGAGGACTTTAGTTTTATTTGTAACAGTTTTCTAGTGGTGCCAAATTCGGATTTTGGGTTGGGTTCGAATTGAATCTGGAACTAGCCCGCATTCAAAAGGGTTGGCTCGAACCAGACCCACTTTTGTAAATCGGTTGAAAATACGAACTTGAACCCGACTTGTCGTGTTACCGTGTTAATCCGACCCAACACAGTTTTGTAAACGTAGGATGGCAAGGCGAGGCATTGTCGGCGACGATGAGTTTGCGAAAGAGGCATTGGAGGTGGGATGGCAAGGCGAGGCAGCGCCGGCGATGGCAAGTCGGCGATCGCGACAACGTCCTCACTCGTCAGCGACTCAACGATGGGCGGGAAAATTGATGCGGGTAGATGCAACTCGCGGGCAAAGTCAGATAGGCGGGGTCAGACGAGGACACATACTGGCACGCGCAATTAGATGCTAATATACATTTCATGGTCATTCCGGGTCAATCCCGAGTTTCCAGTTTAATCCGAACCCGACCCATTTCATAAACAGGTTGACCTTTACCCGGAATTTTTGAGTCTGATTCGAGTCTTGTTTTCGAGTTGTGTCAAATATGTAACAATTTTTTAGCACAAAAATTTCTTAAAAACATTAAAAAAAAAAACTTGTGGCAAAGAACTATCTCAAACGAAACATTAGTCATAATGAAAGCTAAATTCACTATAGTGATTCATTCAACCCCTAAAAATGTCTCTATATTGTAATTAGAAATGATAATTCTCTAAATCAACAAAGATATAGGCAATCCCTTACCGCTATGTTTTCTTGCGATGTTTAGGGTTTCCATTCTTGGCTTCCTTCTAGGTTGGGTATCTTTCCTCCCTTAATCCCTTTTTTTTTCTTGCGATTTTCTTCCGTATGGCTGCGGATCGTTTAAGGGATCTTGGGTTTTTGGATGGAAAGCCAAAATCTAGGTCGTTTAGAGATGCTTTGTTGGGTGGATCGCCTTCGCCTGATTTCCGTCTGCTCAAAGTCTCGTCCCACCATGGTTTGCCTGCTTTACTAATTTCAGATGAGGAAATGTTATCTCTTGCTGCACCTTTTGAGTTTGCCTTAGTCGGGAAGTTCCCAGGCAACCGTCCGCCTCTTAATACTATTCACAAATTTTTCTTCAACTTGAAGCTGTGTTGTGCTTTTTCGGTTACAATTTTGAAACTTAAAAATGTATTGATTAAACTTGTGAATGAATTAGATTATTGTAGGACTTTTTCCCACCGATCCTATTTAGTTAACAATTGCTACATGAAGCTTTTTAAGTGGACTCCTCATTTTGATATTAATGTAGAGTCCTCTATTGTTCCTATTAGTATCTATTTTCCTTGTTTACGCCCTCATCTTTTTTCCCCATGCATACTTCATTTATTGGGGTCTCTGCTTGGAAGACCTTTGCAAATGGATAATGCAACTATTAATGGTTATATACAATCTGTTGCTCGCTTACTTGTGGAATTAGATGTTACCAAAAGATATATTTCTCAAGTGTGGCTCAGTTCTGAGTCTTTGGGATGCATTCAATCAGTTGAAATGGAAGAGTTTCCTTTGTATTGCTTTCATTGTAAAACATGGGTCATTTGAAGGATGATTGTCTGATTTTAAACCCTAATTTGAATGTTTATCCTCTTGTTAAGGAGGGGGTTGTGGTCGATGTTCCTACTTCACATGATCTTGATGTTCCAGTCAGTGATTCGGTTGGGTTGTCCCAAGGTGAGTTGGTGTCGGTTCAAGGTGTGAATTGTGATCATGTTGATGATGTTGGTTCTCCTCTTCCTAATGTTGTGGGGCATGAGATTATGCCTATTTTTGCTAAAGAGCTAGGTGATATTGTCTTTCATATTTTTGATGGCTTTTTTATCTCCTGTTGTGATTAATCAGGAGGTGGCAGGGGCCTTTGGTTGGGTCTGAGAATGTGGGGGATGGTGCTTTGGCCTTGTCTCATGTTGTGGATGTTGAAAATGAGGTGATATTGGCTGATGATCAAGTGTGTGTTGTGTCGTCTGAGGATGTGATTACTCTTGACCCTGTTGTTGGGTTGGTTTCTTCTAATCTTATGGGGTCTGATAGTGGTTCTATTTCTCCTGCATCTATTGGATCTTTGGGAACTGAGGCTCTTATTGAGGTTTCTATTGTTGTCATGTCCCCTAATGGTTTGAATGCTCATTTTGTTTCTAATATAGGGGTTACTTGTACTGGGCATTCGGGTTGGCTTGAAGGATCTCCTTCATTATCGGGTGAGGTGAGTGATGATGTTGGCGATGTGCAAGATGATTCTTGTCAGGACTTGTATGGTTTAGATGTTTGTCAAGTTGTTGAGAAAACTCTCTCGAGTGGAAGTAAACGTCGTCGGAGGAAATCAAGGAGTAACTCTGTTGTTTTGTGTGTGGGTTTTTCTTGGCTTTTTGTTATTTGATGTTGGTTGCTTTTTGGTCGGTTATTTGTTGGGTTGGGTGTTGCATGGGGGAGTTGATTCTCTCATTCTCTATTTTGCTTTGCATGTTTTGTTGGTTTTCCACTCCTTATCTGGTGGTTCCGAGCCATTGGATTGTTCCTGGTAGCCATTTTTTGGGTGCTGTCTTAGTGTCTTGGATACTTACTGATGTTGGTAACTCTTATTTTTGCATTTTGATGCTTTTCTTATGTGCTTTGCATTACTTTTCTTTTTATGTAATAGATAGGATCTCAAGCTCTTAGGTTTTATTTCAAATGTTGTTCTTTTGATGAGCTTCTAATCCCTTAAAAACATGTAATTTTACCAGTATTAACGCGTAGATCCCGCCGTAGAGTTTCATAAAAAAATTGATAATTCACAATAAAAATAATCTTTGGCTTCATTTGAGCTGTTTTTTAGCATTTTTTAAAGCACCTTTTTAATATAAAATTAAAAAAATATATATTTTTTAATTAAAAACTTTCTTTAAAAATCATTAAAAAAAAGTTGTCACAGATTAAGCCTTGATGGTTTATATAAATCTATTGAAAAAAGTGTAGCTACTTTACTTTTCAACTGTTCATTGTATGGAGATGAGCTAGATTGGTTGAGTGGATAAGGGTGTGTTGACCTTTGTGGGCGGCAGATGCAGTCAAGGGCACAAAAAGATAACGATCCCAACTTGCTTGGAAGAATAATATTGCATTTAGATAGAAAAGGATTTTGCGAGAATCTTAGAATTTTCCACTTCAACTTATTGCAGCATCTAATGCCCCATTGACTATGGAGATGGAGAACCTCAGAACCATCTGTGTCTTCACGTGCAGCATATCTTGAAACAAAAACCCTACCAACGGAAAATAAAAATAAAAAACATTAATGAGTTAGTCCACATGATCAAATAATGAAGATACAATTAGGGGTTTCAATATTTGTCATGACACGAAAATCTGACCTGGACCCGACCCGAAAAATCCGGGTGGGACCCTACC